CTTATACTTATTAGCCACTCCATGTTAATGGCCATATGCATGTTGTGGTTGAGTGACTTGAGCTAAATCATGACGATAGTGTGATTTAAGAATAGTCATTAGGTGATTGATTATTACATGACCTTAGTTTGTATGCCTTATGACGATAGTGAAAGTGTATGCTAGCTAGGATAGCTCTTAATCCCGATAGGTGATTAGAGAGTATTCTTGACATTGCCTTGTATGAGTTGCTTGGGTTACATGTAAACCTATTTTCCGATGCCTAACTTTGCTGAATTCATAGCATGTTTGATCCTACCCCCTAGTGCTTGTTTTAATTGTTATTTTATCCCCTTTAGTCATTACTTTACCCATCATACTTCTTGATCGAACTAGATTAACATTAGGAGATAAATAGCGGTGCTTAATCGTTTCCCTGTGTTCGACCCTTAACTTTCCTCTATACTCTTTTAGTTGCATGTTTAGGACTACAAATATCATTTGATAGAGGTGTCTTAGTAACGACCTAAAATACCGCCTGTCAAATTGGCGCCGTTGCCGGGGAAACGGTTTCCATTGTGTGTTTATTTTCTTGTTGAGACTAGTTCTTTTCTGTTCTTTTGTTTTTCCATATCTTGTCAGTGCTCACTTTCTGCTTAGCTTTGTATATGCACAGGAGGCTTAATTTCTCTAAGCCTTTGGTGTCCATAGACCTCGATCTAGAGCGTACTCTGGCCCAATTGAGGAGACAAGCAAGGGAGAGAGGTGAAGACCCACTTCAAGAGGAAGTGAGAAGTTCCCCTACCCCATCTTCACCCACTTCAAGTGAGGAGAGTGAACCATCCACAGGCTCAATTACCAACCCATTTGCCAATAACCATAATCAACAAAGCATGGCCGATCAAGGAAACATGGGTGATCAAAGGTCACTAAAGCAACTTGGAGCACCCGAACCATATGCCTCTCAAAGTGGGATCCTAGCCCCCACCACTTAAGAAAACAATTTCGAGATAAAGCCTTTTTTCATTTCAATGATAGACAAGAGGCAATTTACCGGTGGGAAATTTGAGAATCCCCATGAGCATCTCAAAGAGTTTCTCAAGTATTGTGACACTATCAACATCAACGAAGTCTCCCAAGAGTACATAAGATTGAAGATGTTCCCGTTCTCACTCATGGGAGCGGCGCAACATTGGTTGAACTAGGATGTTCCCCCCGGTTCCCTCACAACTTGGAATGAGGTAACAAAGGCGTTCCTAGGAAGGTTTTACAATCACAAGAAAACCGCCGAGGCTCGCTCAAAGATTCAAAGTTTCCGCGAAAGAGGTGGAGAGTCTCTTTGTGAGCCATGGGAGAGATTCAAAGAGTTACAAAGGCAATGCCCACACCATGGGATTCCTAATTGGCAATTTCTCCAAACATTCTACGGAGGACTCTCCCCTCAAAGCAAGACTAGCCTTGATGCCGGAGCCGGAGGCCCAATCATAAACAAAAGGGAAGATGAAGTGGAGAGTATCATAGAAGATGTTGTGCGCAATTATGAGGATTGGTACGAAGGTGAGAGGGAAGCCACTTCTAGCAAAGGAACGGTAAAATCCGTCAATAAAACCAATGCCATCACAAATCTTTCCAACCAAATGGCAAAGATGGCGAAACAAATGGAGGAGTTCATGAAATCAAGTTCTCAAAATACTTCCTCCCCTTCTCCCAAGGGAGACCATGGTATGAATCCTTCTACTTCTTCTCCCTCTAATTACAATGCCATGCCTCCCGGTTGTATGTTTTGTGATATATGTGGAGGCTATGATCATAATTCTCAACAATGTATGTCCATAAGTGAAGGTCCCCCTCCCCGTGAAAATGATGATAATGTTGAAGATGTTAATGCCATGAATTTTGTGCCCCGTGAGGGAAATGCTGGAATGTGGCCAAATTGGAATCAAAACCTAAACCGTGGTTGGAATCAAAACCAAGGTTGGAATCAAAATCAATGGAATCAAAATGGTGGTGGTTATGATAACCAAGGCAAAGGTTGGGGAAACTCTTTCAATTACAATGGAAGAATTTACTCAAACCAAAGGCCCAATTGGAATCAAAACTAACATCACTATTCCAACAACCAACAACGTTTTAATTCCAATCAGGGTTCCGGGGGTAATAGACCACAAAATGCTTCCACTTTCTCACAAAATAGTAGACCCCCCGGTTTTGACCAAGTAAGGCCCCATTCTCAAATTCCCCATACTCAACCCCTCCAAATAGAAGCCCCTCCAGATCCTATGATGACTATGCTTCAAAATTTCATTAAAAATCAAGAAAACCATAATAAGAGTCAAGAGGAAGAAAAGAAACAAATCAAGGCACACATGAAAATGCTGGAGACCCAAATCTCTCAAATTTTCCAACCAAGTTCTTCATCCTCCCCTTCTTCATCTTCTTCTTTACCTAGCCAAGCTGTCAACCCCAAGTCTATGTATGCCATTACTACTAGAAGTGGGAAGATCCTAGAGAGTGATTTAAATGTTGAGAAGAGTTCCGATATGAGGATAGGACTTGAGGTTGAGGATGAGTCATCAAGAGAGAGTGAGGTTCTAGAAGGAAGTGCCGAAAAGAATGAGAGGGGTCAGAAAGAGAAAGAGAATGAACCCGAAAAGGAGAGCACCAAAGATCAAACACCTTTACCCCTTAATCTCCAACTTAGGAATGAGAGGTTGCCTTTTCCCCAAAGATTTGCTAGGTCTAGGCTTGATGTCCAATTCGGAAAATTTTTAGATGTAGTAAAGAGCTTGCATGTTTCTATACCCTTTGTGGATGCTATGAAAGAGATTCCACACCACTCTAAATTCCTAGAAGACCTCCTGAATGGAAGGAGAGAAGTCAAAACCGTTAGCCTAACCGCAAATTGTAGTGTTATTCTCTCTAGTAAGCTAACAAACAAATTGCAAGATCCCGGTAGTTTTTACATCCCTTGTTCTATCAATGAGGTTCATTTGGGGAAGGCTTTGTGTGATCTAGGTGCTAGTGTGAGTTTAATGCCCTTGCGGATAGGTCCACAAAATTGCCTATAGGGAAAGTAGAGGACATACCCCTTAGAGTTGGTAAGTTCACTTTTTCGGTGGACTTCTATGTTCTTGAGATGGATGAAGATGAAATAATTCCTATAATCTTGGGTAGGCCATTCTTGGCTACTTCTAAAGCAATTATTGATGTCAAAGAAGGTAAGATGACCTTGAAGGTTGACAATGACTCTATCGAATTTGATTTGAATAAGGTAATGAGAAAACCTTCCTCTAGTAATGAATGCTTTAGAATAGATACAATTGAAAACTTGATGAATGAGTTTAGATACCCTCATATGCATGCTTCTAATGATCTACTTGAGAATGTTTTGTTGAATGAGAATGAGGTAGGTGATCAAAAGGAGATGCAATTATATGAGGAAATTCTTGATGAGAAAGAGGAGACAACCCCCGACCAAGAGATTCTCCAAACATATGAAGTCTTCCAAGTATAAGTGGAGGAAATCTCCAATGGTAAGGGAGCTCCGAAGGTAGAATTGAAACCTCTACCATCGGGCTTGAGGTATGTCTTTTTGGATGCTAATGATACTTTTCCGGTCATCGTCAATGCTAACCTCACGGAAGAGCAAACCTCCTCATTGCTTAATGTTTTGAAAAAGCATAGGAAGGCTTTGGGTTATACTCTTGATGATCTCAAGGGTATAAGCCCCTCCCTATGCATGCATAAAATCGATTTAGAGGAGGGTGCTAGGTCGTGTAGGCAACAGCAAAGGAAACTTAATCTTCCCGTGCAAGAGGTCGTGAGGAAGGAAGTTTCCAAGCTACGTGAAGCAGGGATCATCAATCCAATCGCTCATAGTGATTGGGTGTCCCCGGTTCAAGTAGTGCCGAAAAAGGGAGGTATGACGGTAATGGTCAATGATAAGCAATAATTGGTCCCAACTCAGCTTGTTACGGGTTGGCGTATGTGTATAGATTACCGCCATTTGAATGTCAATACTTCCAAAGACCATTTTCCAATACCGTTTATCAACCAAATGCTTGAGAGACTTACAAAGCATGCCTTTTATTGCTTTCTTGATGGTTATTCGGGATTCTTCCAAATCCCAATTGACCCAAAAGATTAAGAAAAGACCACTTTCACTTGTCTCTATGGTACTTTTGCTTACCGTAGGATGCCTTTTGGTCTTTGTAATGCCTTGGCTACCTTCCAAAGATGCATGATGTCAATTTTTAGTGAAATGATCGAGGAAGAAATGGAAAATTTTATGGATGACTTTTCCGTTGGTGGAGGCACATATGAGAAGTGCCTAATGAATTTATCTCGTTGTTTAGAAAGGTGTGAGAGTGCCAACTTGGTGCTCAATTGGGAGAAATGCCACTTTATGGTGGAAAATGGCATTGTTCTTGGCCATAAAATCTCCAAGCGGGCATCGAAGTTGATGGTTCGAAGGTTGATGTGATTGAGAAGCTTCCTCCTCCCACAAATGTGAGAGAAGTGAGGTCTTTCCTTGGTCATGCCGGCTTTTACCGCCGCTTTATCAAAGATTTCTTTTTGATTGCTAAGCCTCTCACATCTCTCTTGCAACATGATAAAGAATTTGTATTTGATGAAGCTTTTCATGAGTCATTTTTTAGGTTGAAAAAGGCTCTTTGCACCGCCCCATAGTCCAAGGACCGGATTGGTCTTTACCATTTGAGCTAATGTGTGATGCAAGCGACGAAGCCATTGGATCGGTTCTAGGACAAAGAAAGGATGGGAAACTTCACGTTATATAATATTTGTCCAAGACTCTCAATGATGCTTAACGAAATTATATAACTACCGAAAAAGAGTTCTTAGCGGTTATTCACTCATTTAAGAAGTTTAGAACCTACCTCATTGGTTCTAGGACAATCGTGTATACCGATCACTCGGCTCTCAAATATTTGATAAGCAAAAAGGAGGCCAAACCAAGGTTATTGAGATGGATCTTGGTCCTTCAAGACTTTGATTACGAAATGAGAGATAATAAGGGAGCCGAGAACGTGGTGGCGGACCACCTTTCTAGGTTGGGAGGTGCAAGAATACATGAAGACGGTTTGCCAATTGAAGATGCCCTAATGGATGATGTCTTATACGCTCTTGAGGCAAAATCGGAGCCTTGGTATGCAGATATTGTGAACTACTTGGCTTGTAGTGCCATACCTCCGGATTTCACTCCTCAACAACATCGAAGGCTCAAGCATGAAGCAAAGAAGTATATATGGGATGACCCCATGTTGTTGAAGAGACGGGTGGATGGACTTTTGAGAAGATATTTTCCTAATGAAGCGTTCCAAGATGTGCTCTCAATGTGCCACTCATCCCCTTGTGGTGGTCATATGAGTGCTCAAAAGACCGCTTCCAAGGTTTTGCAATGCATGCTCTTTTGGCCCTCTCTATTCAAAGATGCTTGGCAATTTGTTACGACTTGTGATAGGTGCCAAAGGACGGGGAACATATCAAGGCAATTGACTTCATGGGCCCTTTCATCTCATCCCAAGGAAACCGGCACATTCTAGTTGCCATTGATTATGTTTCCAAGTGGGCGGAAGCCGTGGCATCTCCCACCAACGACTCAAAGGTGGTCATCAATTTGTTCAAGAAAGTCATCTTCCCAAGATTCGGTGTTCCTAAGGCAATCATAAGTTATGGAGGTTCACACTTCAAGCACCATACATTCAACAAGCTTCTTTCAAAGTGTGGTGTATCGCACAAGAGAGGCCTTGCTTACCACCCCCAAACAAGTGGTCAAGCGGAGGTCACAAATAGGGAATTGAAAGTCATCATGGAGAAAATCGTTGCTAGAACAAGGAAGGATTGGTCTAGTAAGCTCATTGATTCATTGTGGGCATATAAGACCGCCTTCAAGACTCCTATAGGGACTACCCCCTATAAGCTTGTTTTTGGGAAGAATTGCCATTTACCCGTAGAAATGGAGCACCGAACGCATTGGGCAATCAAGTAAATCAACTTTGATCTCAATAGTGCGAGTGAGCAAAGACTTCTAGAGCTTCATGAGTTGGAAGAGTTGAGAATGAACGCCTATGATAGTGCAAGCCTCTACAAAGCAAGAACCAAGGCATGGCACGACGCTCAAATTTCCAAGAAGGAATTTGTGGAAGGACAAAAGGTCCTACTCTACAATTCAAGACTCAAGCTCTTCCCCGGAAAATTGAGGTCTAGATGGAGCGGTCCATTTCAAGTATCCAAAGTCTTTCCTTATGGCTCAGTTGAGGTATTCAATGACAAGTACCCTCCATTCAAAGTGAATGGGCACCGTCTCCAGCCATACTATGAGGGTCAACTAATTGAGAAGCCAGAAAATTTATCGCTCATTGATGTTTCCAAGTCACCATGATTCTTTTATGAAGGGCGTCAAGCTAATGACGTTAAAGAAGCGCTTACGGGAGGCAACCCGGTTTCTAACTTTTTATTTATTTATTTTATTTCCTTGGCCACACTTGAACTAATCTACCTAACACTTTTCTTAATCAATTGTGATGTAGGTGTGATTGTGTATGTCCTTAGGAAAGAGAGATAAGAGTTGAAGAAAAATGAGAAAAAAAAAATTTGAGGAGTTGTGGTCGAATAAAGACCAAAGACAGAGAGCCAACGCGATTTGGACGCGGCAGAGGAGCGAGCGCGAGTAGAGAAAGGCGCGGGCGCATGTCAAATAGGCGCGGGCGCTCCAGTTCTTGGGTCACAAATTGCCGTCATTCCAGAACGTAGGAGCGATTTTGTCGCGCCATAGGAGTGGTTCGCGTCATCAAAGGAGCGCGGGCGCGCCATCTGCTTGGTCTAAAAGGTCTCCGATTCCAGAAAGAAGGAGCGATTTTGTTGCGACTAAAGAGCGGCCCGCGATATCAAAGAGGTGTGGGTACGCTTAATTAGGGCGCGGGCGCGTAAACAGTTTGGTCTAATTTCCAGGAAGTTGGAGCGATTTTTGTCGAGATTTAGGAGCGGTCCGCGTAATGTATTTGTCGCAAGCGCGCCTATGTAGGAGCGGGTGAAAGGAATGGTGTCCTTCCAACAAGTGTATTCTTCCGATAGAGGGTTCAAAATTATTTCAGAGCTAATTCTTCAGTAAGGTCAAGTGATCGGAATGCCTAGGTGGAGGCCGCTTCTGATCAGTAATATCGAGGTACAATTGATATTACAGCTTAATCTTAACTGAACCCTTTGGGTCAAACCCAATCGAATCACCGATCCAAGACAACGAATTAATCCGAAAGGATTTAATGAGTCGACAGAGTTTTACGAATACAGACGTCAGAAATCGAGCCTAGGGCGTCGAGATCGAACGTCGCAAAATCACAAGCAACAAGTATAAGCGTAGCCGTAGCTAGGCTAGGCTAGCTCATCGCAATCCTAGGCGCACCATGGTGTGCTAGGAACTATCGGAGCCTAGGCGCACCCTGGCAGCCCATCGCAAGCTAAAGCATGCTAGCATGGGTGCCTGGGTGCGCATGGAAGGTATCGCAAGCCCTACAAGCACCAGGCAGCCCATCGCAAGCTAGCAACATGCTAGCATGGGTGCCTGGGTGCGCATGGCAGCTATCGCAAGCCATACAAGCACCAGGCATCCCATCGCAGCTATGAGCGTGCTAGCCTGGGTGCCTGGGTGCTCATGGGAACTATCGCTAGCCTATCGCACCAAGCACAACACCCATGTGCATGTGCGTAAGTGTGAGCACCATCGCAGCCCCCTTAGCACTACGCACAGCACCATAGCAGTGCTAGGCACATGCGTGAGTGCGTGTGCGTGTGCACCATAGCACAACAAGCTGGCAAGGCAGTGCTGGCCTTGCGTAAGTGCTAGGCACCATCACCGGCCACGCACCAAGCACAGCTAGCTGGCAGGCAGCGGTGGCCTTGCGTGTGTGCTAGGCACCATCGCAGGCCACGCACCAAGCACAGCGCTGGTGCGTGCTGGCATGGATGCACGTAGCTGTGCAAGCACGGGCGAGTAGCGCTGGCTTGCTAGGGCCATGCGTATGCTGGCCTGGCTATGCTGGCTATGCCAGAGCCACGCCTGCATGTGCGTGTGCCTGCAATAGCAAGGCAGCAGCACCACTCATGCGTATGCGTGTGCCTGCGATAGCATGGCAGCAGCGCCCAGCGCCGAGCACAAGGCGTGGCTCGCTAGCAGCATGCAAGTGCTGGGCTGGGTTATTCGTGGTGCGCCAGCCAAGCATGCTAGGTGGCTGTGCATGCTGGCAGCACCAGGTGGCAGCCAGCCTAGCTGCCTTGTAATTGGTGGTTTGAGGAGAAGTGGGGACCAAAGCCACCAAGCTTCCCTTGGGGAGCAAGGCAATGGTCCCCCCCATGGGATATGGTCCTCAGCTAACCCATTCTCTCCTTTTGCCACTTGTTGGCTTGTGATTGTTTTGCATAATTATTTATTTTGGAATTAAATAAATTATTGCAATTGCGCATGATCCCACATTGATCATGGAAAGGGGTTTCAAGTCCCCATTCTCTATAAATACCCACTTGGTTGGGATTTTGAGAATACAACCTTGAGTGGAATTAAAAAGGCAACTCTAAGAAAGAGTAAACCTTTGATTCGTAAAACTCATAGTTATTTTGTCCGGGTCTTGACTAACCTTCAAGACTTAGGACGCTCGGGTCGGGTCGAGGGTATAATCCGTCGGGATTTTAAAGTAAGAGCTCTTTGGGAGCGAAGCACGCGTCAAAGGTATAATTCTTGTTCTTAATCTTGTTTGATTAAGTTTATTATGCTTGTTTAATTGCTTTAATTAAGGGGCGGGTCTTGGTGGGTTTCCTTCCGCGTAGTGTCGGGTCACTACGAAACCCTACAGCGGTATCGGAGCAACGCTCCTTTTAATTTTTTCAATTATTTTTAATTAGGGTGTTTTAAAAGAATTTAATTTTCTGGTTCATGTTCATCTAATTAGATTAGATGCTCGTTTTAATTAATTTTTAAAACTCGATTTTATTTTCGATTTGGCTGTCGAACCCAGATTTTGGCTCAAAAATAGTGATTTTTGGGTGGAATCGACATTCTGGAACTGTTTCAAACCTTTTAGGATTGTCCAGAAGCCAAATTCGAACCAGAAACCCAATTTTTCTAGGGTTTTTCTCTTAATTCTTTTTAAGCCTTGAATAATGCAAGCATTACAAGGTTAGATTAAATGCACATTTTCATCACTAATCTACTGGTTTTAAAATATCCTTGAGCATAATAATGGAGTGTTTATTAGTGCTTAAGTTGATATACCAATTTATCACATAAACTTGTTTTTCACAAATTTTGCAAATAAATTGCAATAAGGTGTGAAAACTTGTTGTGATTTTGTATTTTAAGTTCCCAAATAATGTTAAAGTTCTAATCTTTAAAGGTTTAAATGATTAGAACCCTAACCCTAAATTTCATGTTGAACAAAGTTTGGATTTTTTCATGTTTTGGTTGATTAAAATCCATTAAGTTCAATTACTTGTGATTAAATTTGATTAATCTTCATATTGGAAGATGTAATCTTGGTATTTTACACAAGTATGCAAGTTGGAAATTTTTTATCATTGGATGGTTAATTTATTTTTCCAACTCCCATTTGTCAAATCCATTATTAATTTGCATATAGGCAAGATTAATTTTGGACATAGCTCATTTTATTTTAAGCATAAATGTAGACCTAATTTTGTTCAAAAATTGAAATTTTGGATAAATTTAGGCTTGTGCACCAATAAAATAATTTTTTTTAAGTTAGACTTTATTTTATTTTATTTTCCCTCGAAATTAATTCTAAAATGTAATTTGGAATTAATTATTGTCACACACAAATCGGAATTAAAATTCCGAGTAAAATGCATGCAAAACGATGCAAAACCACAAGCGTTACCAAGGCTAGCCGGGCTTCCTAGCAGCCCACATGTAGGCTGCCTATGGTGCGCATATGGTTGTGCATCATTTGGTGCGTGACTGTGTGGCGAGGGAAGCTACGGCATGGCTTAGGCAGTGGCCTTGGCTGCTTGCTGCTTGGAGGCGATGCTGGGCAGCGTGGTAGCAAGCACCAGCCAGCCCCCACTTGCTGCCAGGCGCCAGCATGCGTGCAAGCATGCATGGTGCTGGCCAGCGTAGTGTGTTGTGTTGGGCACAGCATGCTAGCACCAAGCGCCAGCCCAACCATCCAATGCTGTTGTTGCGTGTGTAGCGTGAGCTACTAGTGGGCTTGTGCTGCTGCTGGGTAGCGAGGCAGCAAGCCCCAGCCAGCACACACTGCCTTAACAGCCATGGTGCGCCATGCATCATAGGCTAAGGCCATGGTGCGCACCCACCAAGAGTTGTGTTGGGTGATTTTGCTTAATTAAGCGCGTAAGAATTTTGCGTTTAGAAATAATGGATTTAACCACTTTGACTAGTTTTAATTAGCCGCGTTAATTGGATTAACCACCTAAGTTAGTTACTAGTTTTGCGTGTTTAATTATGTATTTCGTAAAATTGCATGGGTCGTTCACAAATAGTGAACGGGTGAATGAAATATTGCTTTCAAAACAGGTTCTTTGAAAATGGCAACTAGTGGGGCCCGACTAGGATAGAAAATACGGACTGCGTTCCGTTATGTATTTTTGTAAATCTAAATACGGTCTGCGAACCGTTAAGTATTTTTGTACTATTAGATTAATCTTAGTCGTTCTAGCTAGCTTCTTTTATTTCATTTTGGCCAAGATGTCTCAAGATGGCGTTTCAACGAAGACGAGCCAAGATGAAGACCCATGGAAATTGAAGATTTCAAGGGGTCATGCTAGTTGCCAAATGCATCTAATTTTATGCCTTATATATATTGTTATTATATATGATTGCTAGATGCATGTCTAGGATTTCTATTATGTTGCGACGATTAGTTAAGTTCACTTAAATCAACCAACATAGAAACCCTAGGTCCCTTAATAATATTGAGCTAAAAATTTGTCGTTCCAAGAACAAAACTTACCGAACTAATG